AGAGAGAGGGGGAGAGTATTTAATGAATAAACGTATCTTGATCTAGATCTAGACCTAGATTTTGTTGTGCACCCAGCCAAGAGTGCAGTTCGGTCTAGATTTAGATTCTAGATCTAGATCTAGAAAAATCTAGATAGATCTAGATCTAGACATCTAGATTAGATCTAGATTCTAGATATAGATCTAGATCTAGATCTAGTAGTGGCCTGGTGGGCGAATGACCGAAGAGTGACTCTTGACTACTTGCCTGTGTATTGGCGGAACACACTAGATATGCAACTTGGTTCATACATGGGGACTGGACGAGAAGACCAGATAGTGGACTGGATCGCTAAAATATAGATTATCTAAACAACGAGCTGTTCCCCAATGTCAGAATCCATCATCATGAACTGAAGTTAAGAAACAGTGGCACTCCTGTAGGCCATACAATTGAGGTCCTGTTTGCACTAAATCACACTAATATAGATCTAGGCCTAGATCTAAGTGCCCCTGTAGTACATTAATTCTTCCGTGTTTCGTATTTAGATCTAAACTGAAATAAGATTAGATCTATATCCAATTTAGATCTATATCTAGATCTAGAATCTATATCTTGATCTAGATATAGATTATGTTGTCTATCTAGATCTAGAATCTAAAATCTAGAGATCTAGAGGTTCTAGATTTAGATCTAGATTCTAGATCTATATCTAGACCTAGAATCTAGATCTAGAATCTAGATCTAAATCTAGATCAAGATCTACTAATCTAGATCAAGATCTACTAATCTAGATTAACCCCCACAATGTCAATGGCCGTCATGTAAACAAACGGGACCGCAGTTGTACAGGAGTGCCGAAGCCGTGCACTGAAAAAGAAGCCATTTGAAACTAGTAGACTCCAGGCCTACAGAAGCAAGTAGACCTATTTTTGATAATTATGATAGTAGACCTGTGAATCAAGTTGCATGATAGGCCTAGTGTGTCTCCGCCAATTCACAGGCGAGTAGTCAAGAGTCGTTCTTCGGTCATTCGCCCACCAGGCCACCACTAGATTAAAAGTAGATTTAGATCTAGATTCTAGATTTAGATCTAGATCTAGAATCTAGATCTAGATCATCTACTTTCCGAACTGCACACTCTTGGCTGGGTGCACAACAAAATCTAGAGAATCTAGATACGTTTATTCATTAAATACTCTCTCTCTGGGTTAAAATAAATAAATTATAGTAACACTAGATCGACACACCGCCCGAGATGATCAGTAGCCTTGCATTGTAACCAAAGATAGTACAGCCTCTCTGGTACAGCCTACCGTAGGGTGTAGTATCTTTGTTGTATCCAATGTAAACTACCGCTCGCTCAGCGAGCCAATCACAATCCAACATTTTTGGGGTCCACCTAGACACCATGACTACGTAGACCCCAATCGGGGAGTACGT